TGTCCAACTGTAAAAAGTGATGCGCCGTCCAATCAACTTTAATTTTAGCAAACAATATATCCCTAAACACTTCAGAATTCATCCAACTGCTTCTGTCACATCATCAATAAACACTAGTGACTCCGAGCCATTGGACGCAATGCATTCCCATGCCATCACACTGCCTCCTCCATGTTTTACAGATGATGTGGTATGCTTTGGATCATGAGTGGTTTCAAGACTTCTCCATACTTTTCTTCCCATCAATCTCATACAGGTTGATCTTCGTTTCATCTATCCAAATAATGCTGTTCCAGAACTGGGCTGGCTTTTTTTCTATGTTTTTTTGGCAAAGTCCAATCTGGCCTTTCTATTCTTGAGGCATACGAATGGTTTGCTCCTTGGGGTGAACACTCTGTATTTGCTCTTGTGAAGTCGTCTTTTTATGGTAGACTTGGATAATGACATTTCTACCTCCTGAAGAGTGCTTAATTGGCTGGATATTATGATGGTGTTTTCTTGACCATGGAAAGGATTCTAAAATCATACACCACTGTTTTTCGTGAACGTCCAAAACTTTTTGTGTTGCAGAGCTCACCAGCGCATTTTGTTCTCTTCTCAGAATGTACCAAACTGTTGATTTGGCCACTCCTAATGTTCCTGCTATCTCTCTGATGGAACTTTTTTTTGCAGCCTAAGTCTGGCCTTGTTCACTTACACAGAGACCTTTTTTTGACCGCATTTGGTGGGTTCACAGGAACAGCTTCTAAATGCGAATGCCACTCCTGGAATCAACTCCAGACCTTTTACCTTCTTAATTGATGAAGAAATAAATTAACAACCCACACCTGTCCACGAAATAGCTTTCAAGTCAATTGTCCAATTACTTTTAATCCTTTGAAAAAGAGGGGGCTACATATGAAAGAGCTGTAGTTCATAAACCCTTTCTCCCATATGGATGTGAATACTCTAAATTTAAATTTGTGAGACTGCACTTTAAACCCATATTATTTAACTATTTAACTATAACTTGAATTTACTTTGGTAAACAGCTGGAAAAAAAAACCCTAGTGCTCCTGGCGGCGCGCGCCCCTGGTGCCCCCCGGCGGCAAACGCCCCCAGTGCTCTTCGCTGTGCTCCTGGCGGTAAAAGCCAGAAATTTCCAGAAACTGACAAATTTGGAGTGATGTAAAAGTGAGAAGCAAAACAGAACACTTATCTGTATGTATAATTATTGAAGCAGATGCAGTGCTAAACAAAAGCTGTATTAAAAAAAAAATGACTGTTTGGGTGCAGAAGAAAAAACAGACATGAAAATAAACATTTAATAAATTGCTTAAAATGCAACATAAAAGTCTTGGTGACACTTGCTTTAGTCTCCACCAGTGCTTTCTTGTGTTCTCTAATGTGGTTTGCTAGGGTGCATTAAATAGCTGATGACATGGTTTATGGCGGTGATTGGCTGGCAGCTTTATGGTGAATTTAAGACCTAAATTTAGGAGAGTAAAGATTAGGGAGTCTAAGCAATGACACCCACAGAAAAATAAGTTTTTTAAAAAAAGTTCAAGGTTTCTAGCTCTATTCCTTCAAGAGTCCTTATGACAGCTGGAAAGAAGCTGCTTGTACTTTGATGATTCATGTGTGGATCCTGCATCAGATGAAGGTATCTTTAATATGCTCTAACATTTGAATCGCTCGCAATACGAATGTCCTAAATGTAATATTGCTGAAGCACTGGGTTTGGAAATAGGGAGAGCACGCCAGGCAAGCTCACTGACAGTATTAAAGAGAATAAAAGTCATCAAAACATTGTTCTGGCCAAATGGCTGGCACATTTATACCTTCTCAGTCTTTACTACTACATTGTCAGCTGAGGCGTGCATCTTCTCACGCATAGCGTGTACAGCTAGGAATTGTAGGATGGGAGCTCAGTCGCCCCATCCACTCTGGGATCCAGTGCTGTGTGCAGAGGGAGCGAGTTGCATGTATATCTTGCTGATTATTTTACCAGCTCGGTGCATTACCCCGAATCCAGAATATAACTGTCATCGTGACGACTGAGTGGCCCACTTTAAAAATGTGGCTTCTGCCCGTTATACAACAGAAAATAATTCAATATCCTTTAAAAACATGTACTCACTGGAAATGTCCCCCTCTGACTCTCTCTACACAAATCCCGAGCAAGGTGTTCATCACACCTTGGGCCGGCACTGTTCCACACACGGCAACTTGAAATAGTTAGAGCGGGATCACCATAGTATTAGCTCAGAGACCTAAATAAAACAGAAACAAGGCAATACAAAAGGTTATACTTCATTTTAGGTTTTTATTATTCTACATTTTAGGGGACACAGCTACACCACACCAGTCACATAACAATAGTGCTTACAAACGTTCTGTGTCATTTAATGCCATTGTTTTACTTTGGTATTTTTTTGTTTACATGGGATTATGTAGACTTTGTTAAGTGCTCTCTTTTTAAAGATGGCAACAGTTATCATGGTTCGCAAACCAACATAAGATTATTCTGGCTGTGCCCCATTTGAAATTATTATTAATAATTCATGGGAGTTATTTCATATTACAAACAATATTGTGAAACGTAAAACCAAACTCAGAGAGCCAGCCGTACAAAGTTATACGTGACAGCAGGATCTCTAGCAAACACTAAAGATAAATCTTTTACTCGATTAAAATAAGAGTTTTAGAATTATATTTAGTACAGAAGCGATAAAGCAAACAATGCATCATTTAAAGAGACATTCCAGGCACACTGTGGGCACCAATATTTGTTAAAAGACCTCTACACAGGGAGCCAGGTACTTTGGCCCGTTACTAAGAAATGGGGCCAGGAAACTCTAGGGGTCATAACCACTAGAGCCGCTAGAGTAGTTCCTTTAACCCCAAAGTTGTCTTTAGGATGCCCTTCAGCTTAACCCCTATTGCTTCTCATCCAGCCCTGGCACAAAAACAAAACTATGCTCTTGGGAGACAGACAGTGTCAGCTGCACACAGTCTGGCTCTTCAGACATATCGCTAAATAGGAAGCTCCTATTTTCTTATTAATTATATAAATTCTGTCCATCTTTGGATGGAATTCATTCATTGGTTGAGGGTGTCCCCTGACACTGTATGGTGTGCAAGGGCGTGGTCTCTCTCTCTATGTGCATGGTTCAAAGTGCTGAAGGATGTGACGACATATGACCACCTGCCACTAAGTCAGAACGCTGCAAGGAAACACAAAAGCTATTTCTGCTATGGCACTACCCAGAAACAGCGCACCCCGCGCTAGATACGAACAAAATTAAAAGTTCAGCAGCAATAATACAATGTTAGTTTTATAAATAAAAAAATAATCAATGAAAAAAAACAGACATGATGAAGATCAAACCAGTTGAGATTTTATGTGATGTCTTCTTTTGCAAATTATATGCTTTTTTCCCCCTCTATAATAAATTAGAAAATATAGGATATATTAGCATGCCCATTATTTGGTTCTAACTGAAAAAGCACAGCAGCATTTTAACAGCCATTGGACTTGGTCAACCCCTTCAGGACCGGCCTGTTTTTGCGATGTTGTACGTTAAGGACCAGGGCTCTTTTAACACTTTTGTGGTGTTTGTGTTTAGCTGTAATTTTCCTCTCTCTCATTTACTTTTCCCATACAAGTTATATATTGTATTTTCAGGAGAAAAAAGACTTTACACACCATTATTTGTATCATGTCATATAATTTACTTTAAAAAAAAAAAAATTGAAAATGGTGAAAAATTTAAAAAAACACAAACGTTTTTTTACTTTCCCATGAAAAATCTTTTACTTACCTACGAAAGCTAGTGAAAAAAACTGCTAAATAGTAGGGATCGACCGATATTGATTTTTTTGAGCAGATACTGATATTCTGTGAACTTTCAGGCCGATAGCTTACCGATATTCTGTACATTTACCATTTTGAAAAAAAAAACAAAAAACTATTTCTAAAGGTAAATGCACAAAATATACATGCCATGTGTAGTGGATGCAGTGTGTTTAGACAGGGGAGCTGTGTGTGTTTGTGTAGTGGATGCAGTGTGTGTTTGTGTAGCTAGGAGCCAGCTAAAAAAGTTAGGAGCCAGATTTTTCCAATGACAAAAATACAATTCTTAAAGGGACACGATACTCGTCAGAACTACTACAACTAAAAGGACCACTATAGTGCTAGGAAACCACTTGTTTTCCTGGCACTATAGTGTCCTGAGGGTGCCCCCTCCCGCCGGGCTCTGGGGAGAGGAAGGGGTTAAACTTACCTCTTTGTCCAGCGCCGGGCGGGGAGCTCTCCTCCTCTTCGGCTGAATGCGCGTGCGCAGCAGGAGCTGCGCGCGCAGCCAGTCTCATAGGAAAGCATTCATAATGCTTTCCTATGGACGCTTGCGTCGTCTCACTGTGATTTTCACAGTGAGAAGCACGCAAGCGCCTCTAGCGGCTGTCAAGAGACAGCCACTAGAGGCTGGATTAACCTATTTATAAACATAGCAGTTTCTCTGAAACTGCTATGTTTATATAAAAAAAAAAGGGGTTAACCCTAGCTGGACCCGGCACCCAGACCACTTCATTAAGCTGAAGTGGTCTGGGTGCCTATAGTGGTCTGGTGTCCATAGATTGTCCCTACAGGCCTGTTAAAGTGTAAACTGCCTTTTCAGAGAAAAGGCAGTGTTTACATTGCTGCCTAGTAACACCGCTAGTGGCCGTCACTCAAATGGTCTCCTACCTACATTCAGCGTCTTCACGCAATGCATGGAGGCACTGAACATTCCCCATAGAAATGCATTGATTTATTGCATCTCTATGAGGAGATGCTGATTGGTAATCAGTAATCTTAGCTATGGAGGCTGGCCAGCTGCAAAAGACCAGCATAGCGTTGGAAAAAAGGTAAGTAAAAACACCCCCTCCAGACAGACACAGCACACACCCCCAGAAAGACACTCACACCCACCCAGGCAGACACTGTGCATTATATACACACACTACATTATATACACACTATGTTTGTGTAGTGTGTATATAAAGAAGTGTGTTTGTGTAGTATGCATTATATAAACACACGGCACAAACACACTGCATTATATACACACTACACAATCACACTGCATTATATACACAGTGTGTTTATATAATGCAGTGTGTGTGTAGTGTATGTGTATGTGTATAATTGAGGGGGCATTTTAAAAAAAATTTTTTTTTTAAATATTTGATTATTATTTATTTTTGTCCACCCTGCCTGCTTGTTGCCTGGCCAGGGAGGGGGGATATGGTAAATCCTGGTGGTCCAGTGGTATGGGCTGAGCAGTGGGGGCCGGCAGCAAGCGTTTACTTACCTTCCCAGCAGCTCCCCAGTGTAAAACTCGCGGCCAGCGTGTCGCGCAGAGCGTTGCCATGGTAACCTGTGGCAATGCTCTGAGGGACGCGGGTCTCGCAAGATTTACACGGGGAGTTGCGGGGAAGGTAAGTAAATGCTTGCTGCCGGCCCCCCAAAAGGACCACCGGGCTTGTAATGCGCCTGGCGGTCCTGTTATATATTATCGGCAATATCGGTATCTGAATTGGCCGATACCAATATTGCCGAAAATACAGAATAGCGGCCAATAATATCGGCCAGACCGATAATGGGTCGATCCCTACTAAATAGATTCAAAATGTTGTCCTAAGTTTAAAAACACCCAATGTTTACGTGCTTTTTTTTTTGCAAGTTATAGGGCTATAAGTACAAATAGGAAATTGCTGTTTTAAAATATATATTTTTTTAAATGTATCAATAGTGACTTTGTAACACTATTATCTGTCATAAATCTCTGAATCACACCCCACATGTACATATTTTACACGTGTGTAATTTAATTATAAGTGCATTTTTATATTAATATATGTATATATTAATAATATAAAAATACACTTAGTATGACATATGATATATACATACACACCCACATATATATATATATATATATATATATATATATATATATATATATATATATATATATATATATATATATATTTATTATTAACATTAACATGTATTTTTTTATTTTACACTTGCACGGAGACTGCCTGTCAGCACAGACAGTCTCCCTGCAGGCAGACACTAGGACACATATTGTGACCATGTGACCTCTCTGTTGAGCGATCACATGGCTCCCAGGGTCCTAATTCGCCGTGGGGAGACTGGGCTGCAGACAGTCTCCCGCCAAACGCCGCCGGGGGAGCACCGCCAAGTGAACGACGGCGACCGGGTAACGATTACCGTTATGACAGTTCAGCAACGTCACCGGTCCTGAAGAGTCATCGGTCGTCAAGGGGTTAAAGGATCACTATAGTGTCAGGAAAACAAAGCGGTTTTCCTGATACTATAGTGCCCTCAAGGTCCCCCTCCCAGAGCGCTGAAGGGGTTAAAACCCCCTTCAGCAGCTTACCTTATTCCAGCGCCGGGCTCCCTCGACGCTGGTGACCTCTCCTTCCTCGCCAACGTCAACGCAGCCGAATGCACATGCACGCCAAGTGCCGCGCGCACATTCAAGCTGTCAATAGGAAAGCATTTTTCAATATAATATAATATAATATGCCTCCAGCGTCGCAGATGCGCCTCTAGTGGCTGTCCAGAAGACAGCCACTGGAGGCTGGCTTACCCCAAGTGTAAACATAGCAGTTTCTATGAAACTGCTATGTTTGCATCTGAAGGGTTAAAACCTGAGGGACATTGCACCCAGACCACTTCATTGAGCTCAAGTGGTCTTGGGGATTATAGTGTCCCTTTAAGCCTTATCTCACAACTTAAAATTTCAAGTCCTACTCCACTAGCTAGGCCTTAAATGTTTTCTCCTTAATACCAACTTAAAGGGTCCAGGAAATACTCACTATGGGTGAATTTCTACTCGGCAAGGTTATGCTTCAAGTAAAAAGCCCTATCAGTCTGTGGCAAAGGTAACCTCGCCATTGGCTTTTGGAGGAGACTACTCGCGAAGCTATATGGTCGGTATTTTTTTTTCTATTTTACTTAGAATCCCCGAATTAGACCGATCGCACAGCCTGATTCACTGGAACTGTTTTGGGCATGGGACCATGCGTGCGGTCGGTCAAAATGTGACTTCCAGGAAATTCCTGAACCCCTGGACTGACCTAGTTGATTTTTGGACAAGTTGGTCATCCAGATCAGGGCTTGTAACATTTGTGGGTACTTTTGGGGTTTTATAAAAATATGTGTTTTTTTCTGCCTGGAGATAATTGAGTTAATACATTATCTCCCAGGCCAAGGGGAGGGATTGTATGCTAAGTGTAGGAGTGTCATTGTAACACGGTTACTGTCATTGGTCTGTGACTTTGTACCATAGTTCCCCACAAGGTCCATGAGGATTGTCATAAAAGGACAAGTGTGGCACCATTAAAGTCGGTTCACTTCACCCTCAACACGCAGCCTCGTCTCGTGATTGTAGGGAACAGCTATACAGGCTATAACCACTAGCACTTATAAGAGCTTCACAGCTATACTCTCTTGGAGGAGAGGCCTTCCCACTGGGAGCTGGATCCAAGAGGTTGGTCCAGGGTGGGAAGGGAGGGCAAGACCCCAGCCAAGCAACGGCGGCTAAGGGGCTTACTGTGTCCGGTGCGGTGCTTATGAGCCTCAGCGTCCGCAAGGAAGCATCGATTGGCAGAGGTTCCTAGACGGGGTGCCAGGCGGTCCATCACACAGTCGTTTGAAAAACAATATATAACATGAATGGATGCAGATGAGAAAGAAACACAAAGCAAAAAATGCTACAACAAACACATAACACTGAAAAGTTATGAACCTTAAGAGATTAAAGATAGTTCAATCACATCCCTTTAACACACAAGCATATACACCAACCTATCATTCGGCTTTGATTTAATAACTTTACTTCAATCTCAGATATCCATTCCATACATCAAATGTTTCAAAAGTGAAGATTCTATTTATTTGTAGTAGGGCGCAGTTAACAAAACTAAACTCACATCTTTCCAAAAAAAAGAGTCCAGCACTCGCCAAGACAAATGAGCATGGCCACCAACATAAGTGCATGACATTTCAATAAGGTAGCGATAATCCACATTGCAGCACACAGAGGCATGACAAACACATCAGACCAAGTGTGTGTGTAGATATACACTGTAGATAAATACACACATTCCATCAACTAAGTCACATTTATGTTCAGTTTAATGACCCCAGATCAATTAAAATAATGTGATATTATGGCACACAAACCATCAATTTATTTTTTTTAAATGTTTTAGTAATGATCCCCAATATGTTTCTGATCCAAGCTCTTGCTAATCTGGAAGCTACCTGGAGATTTGAAAATAGCATCTTAGCCAAGATACTCCCAGGGTTCAATATGTGTGAACTTGTAATGTAACTTAAGACTTCATTGTCTCAGTTACATGTAACATTCAAACGGCACCCAGAAACACAGCTGCCTCGATTCTGTGTAAACCCCAGCTTAGACTTCGCGCCATGTTATATAAGAGAAAATATCACGGTTTGCACTAGGTCTGCAATACTCTTTTTAGATGCTGCAAATATGCAACTAGCCTTACAGAGTTGTACACACATACATAATTCCCATCTTTAATAAAAAAATTACATAATATTAATCGTCCATGTTAGAACACCTATATGTGCAAGCCGGATCGAGTCTATATAAAATACAGTATGCAGGCAGGTAAACGTCCACGTTATCTGGGCAGCAATTGAGGGGATGGGATTTGGTTGCTGTGAGAATCTGTTTTTTTAGTCAAAATACTTGGAAATGGTTCAACAGAAAATGCTAAGAGTCCAATACATTGAGCTTTAGTGGTTATGGTGCTTTGAATGACCCTGTAAGGGTGAATATTTTGGTTTTAGATCTGCTTTATCTGTTGAATAAAGTCTGAGAGTTACACCATTAACACTTTGCTCATTTTAGTTGAATAAAGGTCACCTGAAAATCGTTCACGGAATCAGTGATGTCCTAACTACTAATGAATTATTTAGAATCAAAGTGTTTGTCTGACTCCTGAGAACACCGGCTCCAGAGATTGAATGCTATGCGTTACTTTTCCTATAAATGTGATACTCAGTCCGCAGAAAATGTCAGAAAGAAACAAGAAAGTAAAGGATATACATTGGGGAAAAAAGCTTAGTAAGCGATTCTGTTTAAGTTGTTTTAGATTGCAGTAGGCATTTTTACCAATAATTTGCCTCTTCCAGGTCTCTGAAATGTCGCTAATCTATTCAGATGAACTCAACTTCCTTTATTCTCACAGAAAAACAAACATTCAGTGATCTCAGCTAATCAGAGTCTTTCCTGACAAGGAGCTGCTAAAATTCTCTAACAGGAAAAAACAACTATGCAACTATGATCTTCAAACATTTAAACAAAAGTAAACAAATAAAAGTGGATAAAACTGACCTGACACGAATGAAGACAAATTTCACTGACTGCAGTGAATCAAAAACGTGATTTAAAAATTTCAGCAAAAGTGGATTTGAAAAAATAAAAATAAAAATCATCTCCACTCCTATCAAGCTTGCCTATTTTATTTTAAATTTGGAAATGTAGTATTCAATTCACTGCAGTTTGTTATTTTTAGTAAATAAACCTGAATCTGTGTTTTGTTTTTTATTTGAATGTGCGAATAAACCATTTTTTTTTTATAATTTTACTTCCCATCATACATCAGATATTGCACTAGACTGATTCGCAAGCTGTAACAGTGTGGCGCAATTCACAGTTGCATAAAAGTCTAATCATCCTTCCGTATTATCTATATAACCTTGCAGAGATTGATTTGAGTCTGGTGTAAAACACAGCCAAGTACAGGAATAGTTTTTAATGCAAATAACCGAGAACACAAGCTTGTTACTTCAAGGAGAACACAAGAGGCCCTTTTCTCCTCTTTCAGGTCTTTTCATTTTCTGGCTCTTGTAATATATTTAGAAGGCTTCGTGAACCCAGTCCAGTTCTCAAGGTCTAACAATGCAGTTTGGACATTTAATTAGTAAGCTGTCACTTGAGCTATTTTCAAAAGCATTTCCTAAAGCAGCTAGCTGGATGCTAATTCAGAAAAAAAAAGTATCAAAATGCCT